CCCAAAACCCCCCCCCCCAAACAAACCAAAAACGTCTCTCAATTGCAGTCTTTGACTTTTGTCATGAATGGGTGTTGGCTGTTTTAGGATGATAGGAAAGCCCCCAAACTGAGTATTGTTTGACTAGATCCATCCTTGAATGTAATAAGGATGTGGTAAACTTCCTGGGACGGCAGGGCGGTGTCAGCCTTAAGTGGTTAGGAACTAACTGTAAATACCCTCTAACCAGTACATCTTCAATCAAGGTGTAGTTTGAGTGACTTGGAAAATGACAAGAAAGTAAAAAAAATGTGGAAAAATTGTTTGGACTGGTAATGCACTTACATGAAAGAGAAAGGAAGTAATAACTAGCTGTGTGTATCCATATGTTAGCATGTGATTGGAGTTCCAAGAATAATGTATAAAGATACGTGTTTTCAAGAGACCTTTTGATTTGTGTACTTTGGCCTGTGTCTCCTCTCTCAGTTTATACTGACCAGTCAGCTGAGAGTGAATAATGACTATTTGGTTTCTATTCACTGGCAAACCTTTAGCAACAGTATAGCTGTACCTGGAAATTGCAACATCTTCCTCATTGCCCATTCAGCAAACAAGCAGGATGTTTTTCATTTTTAATTGCTTGAATTTGGGGCAGAAAGCTGTAAAGCCAAAATATTAACTTGGTTAAAGGTTGAACAGGTTTTTGGGCGCTGGTAAATCTCAATTTCACAAGTTTGGTTTTAATTAGATTAAAACTTGTTAGTTTGTGGACCTTTATGTAGTAGAAGACAAAGATGTGCCATTATCCTTTAAAATAGTTCCCTGCAATGCAATTTCCTTCTGTCCTTATGCAACAGGGTACCTGAAGTTGTTTAATTGGTTGCATTTTGTTCCACAAATTAAACCCACAGAAAAAAGCGAGGTGGGAGAGTATCCTCATGCTGTGTGAAAAGTGGTATATTTACAGTAAAAATTCTTTAAGTGGCATGGGTAGCCTCAGTCTATCATTATACAAACCACAGTACTTTTTTTTTCATTCATTCAAGGAAAAATCCTTACACATCACTGGATAACATTTCCATGAATAAAACGTGATTGTTGACTTTGAGAGTCTTGAGTCATATAGCAGTATAGATTTGTAGGGGGCCCAATTACCATGACTAGATGTGGCCAAGAAGACAAAGTTTAGCAGTGAGTAACTGGGTAGGTATAAATAGTAGAATAGTTTCTTTTAATTCAGGACTCAGAGTTTATCTTGCAGTATTCTAGTAGGCTCATTCTACCTGGCTATGGAAAAGAATGATTAGTCATCCTTTTCCAAAACATGCTTTAATGTTACATTATTCTTGTTAGGCTGCTCTGTTTCACTGAAATGTTATACTTTGGAGTAGACAAGTGATTAGTCTGGAACTTCTAGTTTCTATTCAGTATGTTTATATACTGTCTGTTAGCTTTTGTTAAACTTTTGCAGAGTAGTTGCGTTTTGGACTGGAGGGAATACCAATAGATCCACTGCTGTCTTTAAAATTGCTGTCAATGTAGTCCTTTTATTTGGTTAAACTGCCCACATTGCTTAGTGAGCATGTAGTTCAGGAGTCCAACACTACTGACAGGGTTGAAAAGATTTGAGATAACAGCTATATGGCTGTTTGAAAAAAGGACTTGTAACAGAATGAGCATTAGTCCTTTTTATATGAATTTAGTCATTCCTACTTTAAAAAATCTAATAAAGTAAAGGTAATAAAGAAATGTAAATTAATGTAACAGTTTGAATGTAATATAACAGAGCATGCATAGCTTTATGTTTCAGGGATGTATTTGGTAACTGTGTTGGTCTGAGACAAAAAGAAATGCAAAACTCTAGAACTCTTGGTTTAGAGATGATACCTTTTATTAGACCACTAAGAAAGCGCAAAAAAAAAAAAATTTTTTTTTTCCTAAAAGCTTTCAGGCACACGTGCCCTTTGTCAGGCTCAGGGAGAGTTAAAGATGGTAAAAAGTCACCAGAGGTAGAGAATAAACTTCATTTTTGCACAGAGGAAGCTGAAGGTGGAAGTCTGTTCCTCCGGGTCCATGAGAGTATCTTTGTGAGTTGCTCTTTGACATGCAGATAAGGCAGGATTCCTTCCCAGATGGCAAACAGGCAGGGAGGTGTAGAAATCTTTCTTGTTGTTCAGAAATGAAGTTTAAATCCAAAATTGGGAAAAACTTGGCCTGCCCCTGCCCACCCTGAGCACAGCCCAGGCTCAGACCCCTGCCTGGAAGAGCCCAGCACAGCTCCTAGCCCCAAGCCCAAAGTGGACAGTCTGCCCTCGCCCCATGCCCCCTATGCCTCCCCTGGGGTGCACACAGTGGCGGGATCCACCCCCCCAAGCCTCCTGGATGAGCTGCCTGCAGCTTCATCCTGCACTCTCCCCTGCCCCAGCCCCAGCCCCAACCCTGCGCCCTCCCTCACCGTAGGGGCCTCGATGTGCCCCTCCCACCCCTTTCCTCTCCCATGCCCCTTCTCCCCCACTTACCAGCTGGACACTACTTTCCATGCTGCCAGGCTGCACTCCTGGCTGCATGTATGCTGCAGCTGTGCTCATGCACATGGCATTTATCAGTGACATTATCAGCCACATCAGCCCAAAAAAGCCAATTGCCAATAATGTCAATAGTGCCAATACGATATGGACCAATGTATCGGTCCATCTCTGCTTGTGGATATTTCATCAAAGACGATTTAAGACATCGGGTATACCATGATCCTTAAAGTACTTCTCAGGTATATGAATCTTGGTTACTCTCATCCCAGTTCTATTGGCAAGTCTGTCCTTGTGAGTCCATGATGATTTTTGTTCTTGAAGACTTTGGACTATTCTTACCCTACTGAAACTAGAGGGAATCCCACTATGACTTATCATGGAGTCAGGATTTCACTCTCAGCTGTTATAATACCGATTTGCAGGGAGTAAAAACTTCTTGAAAAGGCAAGATGTATTCAGCTAATTTAATCAGTAGAGAGAAACATATCCTTCTCTAGGAAAGTCTGTACTATAGTCTGTTGCCCAACAAAGACAAGACACAATGCATGTCTGATTAGTTTATTACAAAATACAAGACTTCAAGTTGAAATTCATTGAACAGCAGTGGTCAAGAGGAACACATTTACCAGTCTCTTATATATATATATATATATATAGAGAGAGAGAGAGAGAGAGAGAGAGAGAGAGAGAGAGAGACAATGGAAATATCCTATTCTAAAAAAAAGACTAAATTAAGCTACAAATAAGGTCTGTTATTTTTTTTTAGAAGAGTCCCTGAGTGTCTAGCTCAAAATATATATAATTAAAACAAAAGATCAGACACAGTATTTCCTTACTCAGAAATATTTTAAACTTAAAATCTTCTCATCTCATAGAGGCAGTTGTGATACTATCCATATTTTACAATGCATCAGCTACTTAACTCATCATTGCACAAAATAATGATGTATAGTTTTGTTTTTAAACAGCTTCATCTCAGACTAAAACCTTCACGGAACAAAGATGTTGATTCTTCTGGCTTTCATTATTGTGTTTCACATAACCTCAGCAGCGCTACTGTTCATCTCGACCATTGATAATGTAAGTTTCATTACTTGCCTAGAAATTCCAGTTTAGAACCACTGGTTTGTCCTTGTTTTGTTTATCAGCTGAGTTTCTACTTCATTGTATTTTCTAGAATACAGAACTTGATGGATCTTCCAAGCTTAAGATCTAGGTTCAATTGTAACACAGCATTTATATTTTGGTTATATAATGTATGAAGAAAAACATTTTTACCATCTTGAAGGGTCTTTGCTGAACTCAAAAACTATAGTCAGATTAGAAACAGCCAAACCAACCCAAACAATAGCCAGTTCAGCCTAAACAATATCCTTCTTCCCACAAGTAGTGCTCTTTAATCATAGACGTCTTTTCAAAAGCCTGTGTAGACCACCTCTTCCTAAGTGTAGATAAAAACATTGACCGTTAGTTTCTTCCCAGTGCTTCTTCTTCGTTGCCTTTAATTCGTATACTTCTGCCTTAGGGTTTGTGTTTAAACTCTTAGAAGCAATTGACAGTATTGGGGTTTAGGTGCATTTTATTTAATTTAGGGGAAAATTGTAGGCTGCTTGCACTCACTCATAAGACATAAAATGTACTTAAACGTCATGCTCATTCTTTGCTGTTGCTTGGAAAAGTTAGTTTTCTTATTACCAAGTTAGCCTATGAGGTGTCATGCTGCCTAACCATCTTTCCTTCAGCTGTCACTTAAAAGAATTTTTCTGCTTTGCTTCTGTACATACTTCTTCCTTTATCTAATCTTTCCCTTTCTGAAGAACCTTCCCTTTCTGAAGTACCCACAGCTTTTTACTTAGCAAAGTGTTAGATATTCAGATCTTTTATTTCAGTCATGCAATTGATTATTCACATTTATAGTAACACAAGAAATATTTACACTTTAAGTGGGCGATCACCTCCTAAGCCACATCCAGACGTTCAGGCATGTGCAGCTTGTGGCACTGCAAAACTCTTTGTGGCACCATAAACCACATACCTGGAATGTTAAAATGTGCCCTGTGCTGCAAATTTTACTACCAGGAAATCCTGGTAGTAAAAGAAAATGGTGTGGAACAATGTGGTGTGGTGTACACAAGAGAAATTTTTGTCAGTAGACACAGAGGCTTGATCCTCCTAGGAGACACTCTGGCTTCTGGCTAAAATGTCTCCACTCTTTTAGTTGTCCCCTGACTTTTCTGGGAATTAGGAGGAGCAGGGAAAGAGCAGTTTCCCCTAAGTGGGGTAGTTTGCCCAACACTAAAGCGCATGTGCAGTGACATGCACTGCAACAATAAGTAGAGGCATAAATGTGTGCCACTATTTTTGCTGCTGCAAGTGCAGGCCCTTGCATGTGAGGATACACCCCTAGTTAACATTATCAGAAACTTCAAGTTTGTAAATTAAGAAATTTCAGTTTTTTAAATTCTGTCAGTTGTCTCCCTTATAAATACTTTAGGGAGCTATTGACTAAGAAATAAGTTTCCTCCAGTGCAAATTACATAAATTAGGATCCCAACAAATCAAGTAGCCTAGCTGTGCAAAAGTATGTGCCCTGCATTATTCAGGTGAAGATGTTAAAACAAAGAATATAAACCTGTAATTTTATAAGCACCCAATTTAGTATTTTATCATTGGTTTGACTGGTTTTGTGATCCTCCGTATGGTAACTATCAAAAGGATTAAGTAATTTAACATGCTGGTTTTGAAACCTGGCATTTTGAACACAGATGCTAGGATACAGTGGCCTATGTGAGTGACTTAGTTTTCCTAAGTAAAGATCATCACAAATAATCTGATTCTTTTACTGAATTATATCTATATTCCTTGAGTTTAAAAATAATATATTTTAGAGCATTAAAACATTATACATGGTGAATTCTGCAAATATAATTAATTCCAGAGTGCTTATCAAACAAGTATATCTTTTAAGTCCAGTATCTCACAGGTTACTTAAATGTCTATCCCAGTAGCAGTACAGGTAACATTTAACTGCTATATGTGTTCTAAGGCTAATCAGAACAAAGGGCTCGGTAACTACTGCAACGGGGTTGGATTTCCTGAGGAAATACCACTTGGCCACAGAGCTTGCAGCATTTACAGTGTTACAAAAAAATCTGTTCAGTCACTGCAAAGCTATTTTATGCTAAATGGTAAACCAACAAAAAGCAACATCCCAGTGGGACCTTAATGAGTCACTAGTTACTTCCAGTCCAATATCCCACTGTGTGTGTATACCATGATTATAGTTTATAGATATATTATGTTAAATAGGCATTTGCTTCTGCCACTAAATTAAGATTCAAGTTCATGTCTCCCATTTCATAGACCTGTCACTTCACTCATATGCTGATGTATATTGAGATTACAGGAGACTGCCTTAAGGGCTGAACTTTCTGGCAAGATCCTGTGACACTCGGTTACACGTAGCCAGGTTAAAATAATCCAAAAGCAGAAACGTCAAAGTACCTTTAACAAAGGGCGATCACCAGGGACCCAAGTTTTCCATTTCCTTCAGAAAAACATTAATTTTCCCTTTTAAAGGACAAAAACATGGATTTTCCCCTTTGAAGCAGAAAATCGCATGTTTCCCCTTGCAGGCTGGCAGAGTTCCAGCCTTCAAGAGGTTGGGAGGTATGGGGGAGGGCAATCAGAGGCTGGGGGTACCACATGTGTGTGCACATGCACATATATGTGGCCGGCAATACAGTCAGGCAGGGTGGTGGGAGCAGCCCCAGCAGCTGGATAAAGGTAAGTCTATGCGACACGATGGGAGAGGGGGCGGGGTTGGAGGGTATGGGCTTGGCGACCATCTAAACATGGTCTGGGCACACCCATTGGTGATGTGTTTGGGGGGG